AGAAATTGAAACTTAAAGAAAAAGATGAGGAAGCAGAAAGGATGCTCAGCTTCAGTTAGTACTATATGGGGTGAATAGAGGGCAGAAGAAAACTTCGGGACTTTCTCTGCACTCCTGACTCTCTCCTTGGCTATGCTGGCACTGTAGCACAGGTGAAGCAAGTGACAGCAAAGAAGCATTTAAATTATCTGTGTCCTTTAAGCCAAGTTCTCCTACAAACCATGAAATCAGCAACTTCTAGTCAATGGCCCCCGAAACGTATTCGGTGAACAGCAGCTTTCATGTCCTACCATGTGCAGCAGAACAGGAGTCACTGGACTGTCTGAAGAAGGTACGTATGTTTTTTCTGTACCTATTTATTGCAAGATGAAAAGCAAAAAACAGAGCTTGGAGAAAGCATGCTGTCACTACACAGACAAGAATTTTTAGAGCGCGCAGCCTTAGCTACAGGAATCCCGAGAGTTAAAAGTGTGACAGGCAACAGGTTGGGGTAGGAGCTCTGGACAGCCTCCTGCTGCAAAAGGGAGTTTCTGGGGAGCCCTTTGCTCCCAGGCTGGCAAGACCTTACAAGGGTTTCTGCAGCATCTCATTGAGAAGAACAGCAACTTGAAACACTGTGTTAAGCATGCAAAGCACACACGGACTAGTGAGGGGCATCCTGTGCTTAGCAACCTTTTCAAATGGCCAATTCTATCTGTTACGTCCTGAAGTTGCATCTCTAACGTCTTTCGCTAAGGATCTTGCTGTCTTACAAACAAATACGAAAAGAAGATTAAAAAAAGGAACACACAAAACAGTACTGAAGAGAACAAGAACAGTAGCATAACAGTGGCAGGTAAAAGAAAAGAGGGCCACAAGAAAGGAAAAGAAACGTACAGTAAAACAAAGGTTTACAAAAAAATCAAAATAGGCTAATAGAGAGTAAGTCCAACAGGAAGACTGCTGAAGTAAGAGATTTGACTCTGATGATCAAACTACACAAAGATTCGAAATAAAAGCCTAGCACAACAGAATGACATGTTAAAATGCTTCAGTGAAAAAAAAATTTACGAAATGGCCATTAAACTAAGATAGTGGTCACCATCCACTGATCTAGTGTATTTAAAATTGTGACAAAGAAAATTCTTCCGTAAGAGGCATATCCATAAAGGGCACTGATGTGCTGCTAGGATGTAATTTCATGGATCCTACCACAGGGTTTCTAATCACTCATATTTCAATTCAGTTGATGAAAAATTAGCAGTTGCATGAAAGTGTCTTACAGGTGAAAAACCTCAAAACCTGCACCTACCTGATGCATTTAAACTTATACGGGAAAAACTCTAAAGCCTACAGCCTACTGGATGTACTCAAACTGCAAAATAATTGGAAAAGTCTCAAACAAATTAGCATTCAGAGTTCCACACTCATCAAAAAACTAACAGTTATAGCACACAATACAGATCTACACACTGGCACTGAAGAGAACCACCTCATTTATTTCATATTATTAGCTTGGCACGCTAAAATGCTGTTTCCACTGTATCTTAAATATCTTTTATTCATGACTGTTTTGTTTTTACATGTCTCTAATGCTAGTATAATGATATGAGAGGATTTATTACTTCATTTATACCCGTCTAAGAGAAATTAATTTTGGAGAGGGAAGAGCCCTGTAACAGTTTTGGCAAAAGACCTTCACATAGGCTAAAGGTACTTGCACAGAATTTACCTTAAGGATCCATATTTGCCTTCAGTTCTGTTACAGAAATACAACTCCTTTCTCTATTCTCTCCCTCACCCATAAAGAAAAAAAGAGTCAGTCCCATTGATCATCATCCTAAGTGGATCTGCTTTAGTGAATAAATTGTGGCCCTAGTGCCCTAGACATGCCTACGAGGCCAGACCTGGATCTCCCCCATACAATTCCTTTAAAATGACTCAGTGTGGATTTTTTTTTTTTTTAAAAACCATTTTTAAAATAGCATGTACTTGCTTGCTCTATTCTGAATACTGCTTCCACACATCATACATATAACAGACTCAAGGTTTATTTTGAGAGGTGTCAGAAGCTATCAATACCCAATCCTGCATGGAAATTCAGCACAATGGAAAAAAAAAATCTTCACAAGGTTACTAAGTATCTATTAAAGGTGAACCTAACCCAAATAAATTCCTTGCTCTTCTATTTCTTAATGGCAAATCAAGTAGATCACGTACTATGTGTAGGATTTCCAACACAAAGGAATAACATTCTTATTACTCAACAGTGTTAGTACACATGAGTCATTAAATACTTCAAAAAGTAATTCAAGAAAACACTTAAACTACTCTATTCCATGCTCTTGGAAATCACGGAATGAATGCCTAGCAAGAACTACTTTAGGATGTAGTACAGCTCTCTACAAACTGTCAGACATGTACAGTTGCCCTCTGTTTACCTACTTGAAACATCTACTGCTCTATTTTTGCTAGCATGTCACTGCAGGTTTGCAGTCTATTAGACTCTGCTTTCCGTGGCAAGGACGGGGTTTTCTGACACGTTCAGAGAACGCTTTAACAATTAAAGCAAGCAGAAAATCGAAGTTCAGAAGCACAAACCAAAACTATAAACCATTGGATTTTTTCATATCTGGGAAAAAAGAAAAAAGAAAAGAAAAAACTGCAACAGCATGTTTGCAGGACTGGTAGTTAAAACGCAGCGGACACAGCATGTACTGACTACGTTTTTACCCTGTGTGATACCCTGTGGATCTTAGCTATTACCTAACATACTGACCTTGCACCAAACATTACTAAACTGCATTACTTACATAGTCATATAAACCTGTAGAGAAACCACTCAGCTCCTCAGCATACCAAAAACTTAGGAAAAAAAAAAAAGACAAGGCCTCAAGCTTTTTCACTCATTCAGCAACTGCACTGACTAGGCTAGAGGAACATCTCAGCACAATAAACACCACAGCTTGCATTTATTTACAAACTTCCCCAAAGGTTTCACAAAGGTACTACGGAAGCAGAGAAAGCACTAGGAGGAGCCCAGCAGACCACGGCAGGGATAACCCTGCGGACAGCTGAATAGCTGCTCTGTATTACCCCGAGGGGGAGGCCTCTTCCACAGCGGCTTACGTTTCCTTGCCGGCTCAATGCCCAAGGCAACGTACCATGCTTTCCATAATCTCCCACCCAATAAAAATTGTACTGCTATTTCCTGGTGAGCCAGTCAAGAGCCATACACACACACAGATGTGCTGAACATTAGCCAGAATAAAAATAAAAGACCATATTAGATGCAAAATCTTCCAGTTCCCCAATGTGCCTTATACTGCAAAAGTCTGTGTACATATTATGTTTGTGTAACAAATTCTAGGCAGCTGATTAAATTTACCAGGATCAGACAGGCAATCCCAACCATCCACAAACCACATCTTCGGCAGTATCTGCCTCAGTAAATATTATTGCAGGACCATTAATTCCATCTCACTATGAGACATCCCGTCCTGGACATTCATGCACATTCAGAAAAACCTGCTGCCAGAATTAATGTGCATCTTAATTAGATTTTATTGATGATACCACAAGAATTAGAAGCCTAAGGTGATAAATACCACATTTTGCTTCTGAAACTACATTCTCAAACAGATGGCATCACCCTAGGATCTTCAGGATGTGTGCTAAGTATGGAAACCGACGTTTCAAAAAAGAAAAAAGCTAGAAAAAATAAAAGATGTATTTCAAACTACATTGAGGAAGAACATACAATACCATGTATTTCATTAATAATTGTAATGTTCTAAAACTTTGATGCTTCAACTTACAAACTACACTAAGTCTTTCAGGTAAAAGATGCATTTGGGCAATTTCTAAAACTGTGACTTTTATTAGATGAAGTCATTTATGTATAATATTACCTCAGATTAGAGTTAAGAACATTTGCAGCATTAATCACACAGCTTTAAGTACTTGAAAGCTAGACCACACACAATTTGAATTAAAAATGATCTAGCAGATCATATGTTTTAAGTCATTTCGGTGAAGAACTACCTCCTTTGGCTTGCTTTCAATAGCTACCTACCACTGCCATTTATAGCCTCCATTTCTGTTCTGGAAGGGACAGCCTTTTTTTTTTTTTTTAAAGCTTGCTGCAGGCTCTGCATATTCCATCATATTCCCCCCCTATATTGTCTCCTTTTAAAGCTGAAAAGCCTTCACAGCAGCTGTTTTATACCTCTGAAAATCCCTATTGCCCTTCTCTGCACCTTTTTAGTTCTATAATAACCTCTAACACAGGGAGATCCAAACTATGTAATGCAGATGCACAGTAGATCGTGCAGCAGACGGCTATTGCCTAACAAACCCTCAAGTTCTGGGCACAAAACAAGCCTCCACAAAAGGCTGGCACTTTGCAGCTGCCCTTAGGTGCTGCATCCTCTATAGATGGCTACCAGAGCTGAATCTTATTATGAAGAATCATGTTCCTGATGATCCCTAGACATTGGACTGGATGAAACAGTAGTTTGATCCACAATGGCAATCCCTTGAATATCAACATAAATAGGATACAAACATGTTAATGTGTCTCAATCCCCCAAAACTCTGTTAGGGAGAAGTCAATTAAAATAGAACTCTAAAAATGTAAATGCTTTTGCTCCCATAACTACTCCTCACATACAGTTACTCTGAATTCCAGCCAGTGCTAGGCAAACACTGCAAGTTGGACAGCCTTTCATTTCTTCAGTGACACGTAATCTTCCTAACCGAAGAATTCAAAGTGAAGGAGTGATATAAATTAGTTATAATGTAAGAAGCAAGAGATTTTAGATCAGATTAAATTCTACAATTTGCAACATGAAATTACAATTAAATTTAAAAACAGCTGACTCCTTATGAAGCCTCAGTAGGTTTCCTTCTTTAAGCAGGCTGATAAACAGTGAAAGCTAAATTTAAAAAAAAAAAAAAAAAAGGCATTTCAGTTGAGTATCAGCATAGGCCTGTACTGGATGAAGTCTGCACCAACTCACCCAGCTGTCTGCCAAACGCAATGTATCATTGAAGGCAGCCCAAGGCTGCGTGGGAGCTGCGCCCGAACCACGTGAACGCCTCCTGCCACGAGCACACATCAGCAGCTGCAATGGTCTCGGCCAAGGCAGACAACTGATGGGTCACGGAAACGCAGCTGCTGCCTATATATGTGGCCCCCGCGATGTCATGGCTGGCTCATAATTGCACTTTGCCTCACAGAAACCTTTAAAAACCCCCATGAACAGCACGCAGGTTTACTCCAGAGGACTTCAGTGTGACTTCTCAAGAACAAGCTAATCCCATAAGAGCCCTGCACAGGGGAAGCTGGACTTGCCTTGAGCCTCAGTCTGCCAAACAATTTACTAGAATCAGTTGTAAACGCAGGACATGGGTCGCCAGTGAGAAGCCTGTATTACCAAGCCATACCACATACTGATTCTTAAGATACCAATATCACATTTTTTCCTCAAATTCAACCAAGAAATTTATTTTTCAGTCACTTTTACACAGCTGTAAACAGCTCATTATAACCAACATGAAGGCAGGTTCAGTGAAGAACTCAACCTCATTATTAAAAGTTCCTGTTCTCAAAAGTCTTCAGCAGGTAAAGGCCATGGGAGACCATTTAAGACCAGATACTAAAGCTGACCTTTAAACAACGAGCAGTAAGGAGCCCAAGATGCAGAGCAGGTCACTTTTCCGCATGGCCTCTAGCGCGTTGTCTCAAATCCTGTATTACAGGCCAAAAACAATTAAATGTTGTGCTTCAGCAGCGCAGAAGGCCGCCAGCATAGCAACAAAAGGTTTTCCTGTTGTGTATGGGCAGCTGCTGCAGCAGGGAGTACCAAAAGGGGGCACTGACCGTGGGCCAGAGCAGCAGCTCGGAGCAGAGACAGGAGGAGGACAACCCTGCGGAGAAGTCGCCAAGGGGAGAGCTCCACTTAACCACCTCTGCATGGTCAACCATTAATGCCTTGTCACGCAAAATAGCCTTGCCAACACATGTTTTCATTCTCTTGCTGCATAATCATCTTAGGAAAAGAACTACAAAATATTCCACCAAAATAATCCTAAATATAAATTTATAGCATGCTTTAAGTTCTGCCACATTATTCCAGGTGTCAATGGATGAACTGTTGCAAATAATTTTAAAGTAACTGGACAAGACTTCATCCAGTTTACACTACTGACTTGCAGCTGAATGACTCGAGTACAACAGTGAAAGTATATTGGCAATCTCATAAAAATCAAGTTTCCTGAAATATTGTTCAATATACCTATAAAAGTCATTCCCCATTGCTGAACGAAGGCCTACGCGAATGCTTACTAGCAGTTTCATTTCAATATTTTCACCTCTTAAATTTAGAAATAATATACACAGCGGTGCTGAAAACATTCTACTGCGCAGGGAACCTGAAAATCACTAATGCAGAAAATGCTTGCGCAGTGCTCGACTGGTCTTCTGAACTTAGTGAAGTGGGCTGAATCCTGCCTCTATTCATAAAATTGATCCTTTTAAATCATAGTTCTCATACAAATGAAAAAAATTAAATATTTACTGTTTTAGCAATAGCGTAGGCCGGAAGGACAGAGAACTTAACTGATTTTCATAGAAGCAAGCACGGAACCCTCTACATAGCATTCCTATTTAATATCATAAACAAAAGCAAGTTTTTAAAAGCACACTAGAATTGGAGCAAGATATTGTCTGCTTATAGAAAACTACTTAGAAATCAACAGTCCCTCTTGATGGCTAAAAAAAATTTCTGCACAAGCAGTAATCTATTACTGGTTTCAGCACTGATGCATAAAGGAAAACATAGCAACATAATGCGGAGGCAGTGAAAGCATTTGCCTGCCTGCAAGCTATAGGCAAATACTTTAAATCGTATTATACAAAAGAATACATATAAAATCAGTACAAATACTATAACGTGCTGCTCTGAATAGGCATCAGCTTACTAAACCGCGTAACAGAACATCATTTAAACACGATGGATTCCATAGGATGTCTTTTTAGAACACACTGAATCCTAACCTTGGAGCTATGCTGCAGGAATGTCAAGAAAAACCTAGATTTAAATCTGACTTTTTAGTATTAATTTGTTCTACAGACTATTCAGCTAAACACTGTGAAATCTAAATAAGATGATATGATCTCGGACCTGTTACTAACTTCTAAAAGGTGTAATGGGTTGGTGAGACAGCAGAGCAGGCAGAGATTAGAAAGCATAATAAAATCGATACATACACCATTTTTAAATGGAAACATATAACAAGGACAAATCTTCCTCTGTGCCTCTGAGAGGATTCTCAGCACAAGAGAAATAAGAGTGATTTTCATACAGGTGGACATAATACTGCAAGGCTAATTCACGCCTTTAGGTCAGATAAGCAGAACAGCAGCATGGAGCTCCAGTAGCAAAGGACAAACTTGTTCATTTTTCTATCTAGTTGTTCATACTATATTTACTTCTTTCAACAAATTGATTTAGCAGTATTATTTTGAACAGTTTGAAAGGAGTGAGGTTACATGGAACAAGAATAGGAGAGTAAACAGGCAAAACAAGTAGAATATTCCTTTTGCAACTAGTGTGATGGCTACAACATTCAGGAAATGCTTGTATTAAAATCTGGTTTTTTTCAGAAACTAGCACTTCTCCATTTTTCACAGTAATGTATTACTTCTCAACGCCTCTTTAAAAAAGGACACTGTAAATCAGCATACAGTAGGGATCTGAAGTACACAGCCTAATCATTTAACTTTTGCACTGCTCATTTATTTCTAAATGAAACCACTGGAGCAGCTACCGGGGTAATTTGTACGCAAAGAACTGGAAACTCACGAGTTTCTGATTCACAGTTCCCCAGCGCAGAGCGGCTGGGCCACACACCAAACCGACAGAGCCTCTGCACGTGACTCACGGATCCACCAAACCCTGCTCAGAGACCTGCAACAGGCCAGTGATCACCCCATCAGGGGATGCAATACTGCTGTACATATATAAATACACATACACACACACATCTCCCCTCATGGTTAAACAGTTCACCATTTATACCCTTTTTAACTGTGTATATAGTTGCTTTTCCCCTCATCTACTTACAGCAGCAACACCACTATTAATAGACCTAAGATCTTTAAACAAAATTTATTTTTTTTTAACTAAAAAGCAAGCAAAACCCATCAATTGGATATCAGGGCTAATGTTTACCGCTCTGTGAAAGCGATAAATGGCAAATGTAATGGTAGGTGATCTTACTTCATTCCATTAATCATTACATCTCTTCAGCTGGAAATACTTTGAAAGTCAGATTTTTAAACTTTAAAACTTTGAGATATATTTAAATCATATTTATGGTGAAATAACACATGACTGCTACTAAAGAGCAGACTGAGAAAATAATGATTTGAGGCCACCAACTAAACAGGGACAAAAAAAAAAAAGAAATCTGAAAGGATCCAAAGTTGTTTCCAGTTGAGAGAAGTATGTAATATTCCTTTTATCTGAGGTGAATTTAATTTTTCAAGTTCAACGTATGCTGAAGCATAATACTGAAACATCTAACATTTACTTTTGCCTTTACAAAACATTCCTCTTATTTTTTCAGCCATAGATACTCAGCAAATTCGATTCTTATTCACACTTCGCCTGTGGTGACTCACAGCTGTGTTTTTCAGCAAGTCACATATTCCATTAAAGAAATTCGCCCAGCTTGACTGAGGAGTTTACAACTGTGGCACTAGTGTGATGTGAAAAACCAAGCAAGTATTCTGGTCTCAGGTAATATTAGCACTGCAAGTCAATCAGAGGTGACTAGTATGTCATCAGAGAAGGTCTTGCTAGAGAAAGGAACAAGTCTTAGACACACAGGTTCAAGAGATCTCTTTTTAACACCAGTATGCCTTGCCACTGGAGGATGTTTCTGATTTTTTTGATAGCTGCAGAGCACTAGTAAAAATATACACACACATATATACATACACACACACACACACATATAGTCCTATCTCTGCTTCTGTCAAAGACAATCAAGTACTGCCCAGTCTGCCTGCTAAATATAATATTTTCTTGAACATCATAAAGCGCATTAACATATATAGAAAATCCGAGGTTCTCCTAACACAATACGTAAATCGCTTCCTTTTTATCAGCCACTGCTATTTTAAAACTTAAAGTTTGATGATTCAAAAAATCATATCTATTTCAAAGCCTCCTAGAGGGAGGGAAAAAAAGAAAAAAAAAATCTGCCATTCATTTATTTGTTCCTTCTAATTCTTAGAAGACCTCTACCTCAAAATAAGGTTTCAATTATCCAAAGGCAACCAGCAACATACTATCAGTAATACCAGGAGAGCAGGCACAATCCAAATAATTTTTCTAAAGTTAACGGAAAACCCACAAAGCACTCTGGCATTACATGCCCTTCCAGTAAATCAGTAGTTACTCAAGACCTCTAATTTATCTTGCTCTTGGGACATTAACAAGCTTTCAATCAACAATACTTCAAAAAAGCAAAAAACCCACCCTCAGGCACAGATTAAGATACAGCAGTACACAACGTCATAGCCCACTGCCAACCTGTTGGTGGAATAAAAGAAAAAGAGAAACCTACTTATAAAATAGAAGAAAACTCCACAAAAGTAAATTCCACCATTAAGGCTCCATGAAGCACTGGGAGATCAGTGGAGCAGGCCAGAGATATAGATGGCACAGGAGGAACAGCATCACCCATAAAACAAGCAAAATAGCACAGTCATTCTCGTCCTGCACAAAAACAGAGACTTATGAGACTAAGCACATGAAAAAGTGAAAACAGAGACATGATAATGGCTGGAAAAGAATATGACTAAACTGAAGAAGTACAATTAATTCTTACAGGAATTTTCCATGGTTAAAAAATGATTCTCACCACTACAAAAAGTGAATATAGTGGATGGAAGCACAGAAGAGCGGGCCAGACTTTACAGCGGAAAAATTTAATGATGAAAAGCATCACTGCAACTAGAAAACTAAGCAAAAGCCACATCCTTCCAAGCAGCATCTCTAAAAGGGCACATGAGGAAAATTGTTCTGAAGTCATGAAGGATTCTGTA